AATAAATTTGTAGATCCTTTGAAGACAGACCTATTTTAAATCAACTGTTCTGGAAAGCATTGTTCCATCATAATAGTATCCTAATGTAGTTCAGTCTTGTCATTTAAATGAGTAGAGCACATTTCCACCTTGCAGAAGTCCCAGAATTGAATTACAGATCGGAAGTATCAGGTGTGATTTTGTCTACTATGCAAGACCCACATGTGTTTTAATTATTGCCATGGCTATTGTTTTGTACCTGAATTCTGCAGTCGGATGGATGCTACTGTTCACACCAGCTATATCCTATGATCAAAATCCATGTTGCAAAGCCAAAAGGAGAAGGAACTTTAGAGTTTCCAGAAGAGCCTCACAGACCTGAATCTTTTATGTAAAGCATTAAAAAAAAAAAAGACAGGAATGTTTAACTTGGGCTCTTGTCTGGGATCAGCATCACATGAAAGAAAATAAAATACAAGGTAAAAAAAAAACAGCAGTTGATCCAGGCTGAAACTGTCCTCTGCTCCTGGAACTGTTACTGACTTGGAGAGGAAAAGAGGAAGGAAAGGGAAGTATCCCTCACACCTTGGAACTGACTCAGCAGAACAGGGACTGGAATGCCTAACTAGCACCCTGGTTGCAGCTAGCAAGGAGTTTGCCACAGGTCAGATGTTCATAATTGTGATGTGTTCACACAAGCCTTTTCAGGCCTATGCCAGCAGCTACTGGAAACAGAACTACCTTTTAGTTTCAGTCATTCTATATCAGTACAAACTAAGATGTAGTTCAGAAAGTACTTCATAAAGAGGAAAACTTTTAAGCATGACATCAGTTTCCAGTATGCCACCTGAAAATACGGAATTCCTCCTCAGTCTATAGTGTCCTCAGTGAAGAAATGGAGATTGAAAGAACAAATAGAATGAAACAGTCAAAGTGACAACAATACAGAAGAACAGAATAAAAAAGAAAAAAAGCAGGTCTTAAATCACATACTCAAAGTGCATGAAAGTAATTCTATTGACTTCAGCTGGCACTGCTGAGGTACTATACGACCATTGGGAACTTGACCTTTGCTGGCTATGTACAACCTTCTTATACACAAGAGTCACAGCATCAAGTGGCTTTGGAAGGACAGAAGGTAATTAAATGTGATCAGATCTATCAGAGGAAAGCACAAAGATAATCTACAGTAGTAGCAGTAGAAATACTTCCTAACTATAAAATTCCTTAAACAATTGCCTCTTTCCAGAAAAACAACATCCTGGCCTTAGAAAAGTTGATGTGAGGTGACTATAAGAAGAGGTAAACAGATGCATTTTGCTGGTTTGGTTCTTCTATTGTCACTGCACACATCTACATCCATGTTTTGATTTGTACTTTAAAGCTGCAAGGGGCAGAAGGCAAGTGATTATTCCAATATGCTATGCCAAATCCCCAGAATACAACTGAACAACTGGGACTGGTTGGGCTGGGAACTAATTGGTTGCTAAAAACAATAAAAGATGGGAGTACTTTTAAAAGACATCTAACATGCTGACTGCATAAAATTAGGCTGGAATGGCATTATTAAAGAAAGCTTTCAAGTGTCAAAAATGAAAGAAGGTCATATATTCTCCACTGAGGAAAGCTAGATCTCACCAGAGGGGACATCCACTTTCATTATTCTGCTATTTTATCTTTGTCTTTTACAACAACTTTGTAGCCAGACAGGAAAAAAAAAAGGAAAAAACATTAAAAAAAAAACCCAAACCCTAAGAGATATGGTTGAGAGGTGAAAGAATGAGCACAGAGAGTAAAGGATGGAAGGTTTGGAAAGGTAAGTCAAAATTTCACAATTATATATAGTGCAAAGCTAGTACAAAATATTGATACTGATGAAAAAACAAGCTATTTTGGATGTAAATATCCTACATCTTGCTGTTTTCATTTTAAGAGCTATCACGTATCATCAAAATCAGTGGAATTATATCACTATAAATGTATGTTTAATTCACAGACAACAAGAAAACTGAATTCGTTTTTCAACTCTGCTTTTCCATCTCTACTTTGACTATTTTGTTTGTTTTGGCTTTTTTCCCCTCCAAATGATGCCATCTATTCATGGCTGTTTATTGTCACCATTTCTAATTGATTCTGTCAGTTTAAATACATCAATTCCTATGCACCTTTTGTAGACTGGAGGCAAATCTTTTATCAAGGCCCATTTCAAGTTACAAAGCACATCTGCTTGTCAGCATTAGTGAGATAGTGCTTGTGATACATATAGAACCATAGCTTGTACAAAACTAAGGAATCACACACTCATCATGGCTGGAGGCCTCACTACAGATCCAGTCCAAAGCTGCACTGAATTCACATCAGGGTGCTCAGGGCTTTTACAAGCTGGGTGCTGGAAACCTCCAGAGATAGCAGAGCTGAAGCCTCTCTGGGCAACCTGTCCCAGCCTCTGCTGATTTGCTCAAGTTTATCACCATCCTTCTTTGCCCTGGGTTCAGCTGTAACAGTCATTTGCCTTCTTCTTAGTAGCTGGTGCAGTGCTGTGTTTTTGACTTTAGCCTGGAATCCCTTTCTACAAGATGTAAGTGAAGAATCTTATGATCGCTATTAGAGGGGCCCCACCTCCAGCCAGGTGGAGGAGAGGGACAATCAGGTTTACTGGACTGTGTGGATCAGATGGCCTGGCACATCAGTCCCACAGGAGTATAAAGGTCTAGCAGATAGCAGTGCACATTTTCCTCTAAAGTTTAAAAGATAGCTTAAAGAGTTTCAGTTCAATCAACTGATTCACCACAATACATAAAAGTGTAGGAGCAAATCACCGTTACTCTATACCTTTCTTGCACTGTGTTCATTTTGACCATTGCCTTGGACTTCACACTGAATTACTCAGTGTTTAGGCAAATAACTGTTTGTGGCAAAAAAAAATCTTTTTATTTGTATGGAGTACAACAAGGGAAAAAAGGGGCAGTGTGGAAGGTGTCTTTCAACTTGGCCGAAACAATGGCAAGGTTATTTTGCCTTCTAATTTTACTTCAACTGTCTTGTCTTCTCTTGCATTTTATTTGCTTTGCTTAACATTTCACGTTATTTATTGCTCACCTTTGCACTGTAAATACAACACACGCTCCTGCTTCTTTTCTTATAATGCTTCTAGCACTCCAAAAGCATATCTACATTTTCCTTATATTTCTCTTTCATCTTAATGCAATATACCCCATACCCACTTTGCTACTTCCCTCTCAACTAAACTGTTCTAAATGACTTGTTTGGTGCAAGAGGAGAACTGTAATGCAATATAAATAACTGCTTTACCTTTGATCAGCTGGGTATCATAACACTTTAATGATATTCTATCACTTGGCAGAAATTAGTTCATAATTTGTGAGTACAGGTTTTATAAGAGATTCACACTAATACTCAGCCACAACGCTGGTAATTAAAATGTCCTCCCCATCAACTGTATTTTATTGCTTTGTGTTACTAAATAGTATGTTACTATATCATTGACATTATAGTTTATGACATATTAGCAAAGTAGGATAGTTACATCTTAATTCTCAGAAGATGTTTTAACTCTTTCATTTTTTATAGTACTCATTGCTTTTAGCTTTAATTTATGTTTACCTTGTTACAATATTTTTTGTTGCTAGTATATTAATGGCTTTTCCTACTGTGCCCTAATCGGTGCAAATCTTTTTATTAGTAATCCATAACCCATAAATATTTCTTAATCTGTAGAAATCAGGTTTGGTTTTATTCCCTCTTCTCAAGCTGGTCAACAGCTGGTTTCATGAGCTCTACTCTGCTCATACTGAACTTACCAGGAAACACTCTTCTTATTTTGACTGAGAATGAATTATTTACTGTGGAAACAGAATTTCATTTACTACAGTGAATCCGAAGCCTTTTGTGCTAACAATATTAAAGAAAAGCAGGAGAAAAACACTCCTGGTGTGAGCTGGGTAGGACTATAACGAGGATCCCAGTGATCTGGCAGCCGTGTCACCATGGCTGTCTTCCTCACAGGCCATCGCCTGGCTGTATAGTAATGCAGAAGGCATTTGCATTGTATACCCACTTCCATGGTTTATCTCAAGCTTGACAAAGGTCCTGATATCCTCTTTATCAGTGCTTATGTACAAATAGTACAATTAAGGCTGATACATAGCAAAGTCTCCAAATCATCCGGGGGGGTTGGAATGAAGACTTTCTGCCTGCTCATGCATAGTGATACGGAGAAGGACAGAAAAAGGGGGGAATTTGAAACAAGGGGGCACAAAATCACAAAATGGAATATAGAAACCTTTAGAATTAGATTTAAGTAACGTTAAGTTTGATGGCTTTGTAACAGTAGCAACCCAAGGAATAAGTGGCTGGATAACCAGTGAAACACCACTTAGTTTATGTTTCTTCATGTAGGTGGTTATAGCTATGTACTACATACTGTCTTTTGTTATAGGTTGGAAATGAAGCCCTTTCAAGAAGAGGTCTTTAGTGTGCTCATTACAATTTAATCTCTTATATTTTAATAAGTATCCTACAGGGTTATTAAGTTGTTCGAATTATCGCTCTAAAAAAAAATGACATTATTAGTTAGCAAATTAAGAAAATTCATCTCCCAAATGCATTCTGTTCAAATAGAAACAAACCAGTTTGATAACAAAATGTACCCTCTTCCTGATAACTTGTTTATTTTCAGCAGCAGAAAGCTTTTAAAAGCCTCGCAGAAATAGTGTTTCAAAACAAGTAAATGCTTTTCAAAGCATAATTTATCAAGATGAAGGTCTAATCCCTTCCACAGTACAAACTGTGGTGCATAGTCATTATACATGGGGACATTATCACTCAATAAATGTGAAAAATTGTCTTAAATACCATTATTTTTTATTAACACCCAGACTGCATCCACCCAGTTAAAGTTTGGAATGCTCCATCCCTGGCAGTGTTCAAGGCCAGGTTGGACAGAGCCTTTGGCAACATGGTCTAGTGTGAGGCATCTCTGCCCATGGCAGGGGGGTTGGAACTGGATGAGGTTTAAGGTCCTTTCCAACCCAAACCAGTCTGAGATTCTATAATACACAGCAGTCCCATGCATTTACTGTTTAGAGAACCTTTAGAGCTGGAGCATTAAGTGCCTGCTTGGGAAGCAGCCTCCAGGGGGTTCAAGGCAGGTTGTGGTGGTATCTGGAGCAACCTAAAGCAATGCTGTGGAGGCCAGCAGGAGCTGAAAACCTGGTTTAATCATCTGCTGGGTGCCATAGTAATGGAGTTGGCCAAGCTTGGCAAAAAGCAGCGTACACCATTCACATCACTGAGCAGTAATAGGAAGCAAGGGTCAGTCATTGTGTGAATCCCATTTCCTGGATGTGGGTATACTTCAAATAGTGTGATTGATATTTGATTGTATGAACAACATGCAGAGACTTCCAGGGCTGGAAGATTGTTATGACAATAATTCTACAGAGCACGCTGTAGGGACTTGCGTTTCTTGTTGAGCCCTGACTTGGAGGGCTATCATTCCATCTGGACATGGAGATGAATCTTGGGGATATAGTAGACAGGAACAAGAGAGAAATTGAATTATAGCCTTGGAGACACACACAGCTGTTACAAATTACTAGAGTTGTGAGAGGCAATTTAAACAAGTCTCCTGAGGGCAGCTTCCACAGAGAAGTTTACATGTGCAGAAGATGCTGCAGAAATAAGCCGATGCACTTAAGAGTGCAGCCACCTGTGTTCACGGTTTGGCTGTCCAACCCTGACCACCACAGATGTTGAGGGCCATGTGTTTCCAAGTGACTTGTCACCAGAATAATCAGGAGGTGTCAGGTCTGCACTTCACACAGCAGCAAAGTCCAGCCAATGTGTCATGTATGTCAGGGGGAAACAGGACCATCACTGGGATATGTTGCCCGGAACTAGGTGATCTTAAGGTCCTTTCCAACCCTAGACATTCTATGATCCTATGATTAGTCCCCAGGACCCCAGCAATAAATTCAGCAAATAGCCACTACCTCATAGATATTATCTTCCCTCCAAGCACCACACATCTTACTACAGATGAACTTACCAGTAATTAGATGAGCCACAAATGTCTCTCATCTTCTGCCCGCCTTTCTGGTAGCTGGTCACCAGTACATAAGTAGTCAGTGAAATACATTTGAACATAGAGCATCTGAAATGGGTAGAACAAATGAGAGCTGATTTTTAAGTCTTGAGTCTTAAAAACTGTTTCTTGCAGTAAGTGTTCTTTCATGCAATGGGTAAAAATTGTGGTGTTTCAGTCAAATTCGTAATATTATGATATAATATCATTACTGTGGTGAAATGCATCATTATTATTGGAGAAATTAAATAGCAATTAGCTACTATTATATATAATAGCATATAGTATCAGTGTCTTGTACCTTGCTGCTGATAGGAAAAGAAACTGAAAAGTACATTCAAGACTGATATCTCAGTCCACATTCTTAAACTAGGAACTGGATGGCAATGGAAATTCACCAAATACAGCAAGAGCTGCACCACAGTGTTTGAGTACAGCTACATTTTGCAAAGCGATTATTAATGTTGGAGCTGCTCATTTTTAGAATCCAAATCAATATCCCATAGATGTGATTTGTGAAGACACTACTTATCAAATGAGTTAAGGTGTTAAGCTGTAGCTAGGATGTAGGTAAGATATACTTATCAGACATTTGCTTCCAGATGTAGTTATTTCAGTAGTAAATTTTGGAAATATCCCATTTTATGCCTAAACCCAGTTGCATTTCAATGTTTTTATTTGAAATTAGAAGCTATAGCAAAGAAGGTTCTTATCAATGAACAGTATTATCATAGGCTGCTCTCCATAAGCTTTTTATTGCTAATCTTTTGCTGCTGGAGACTTCTGTGTATGTTAGACTGAACCTTTTTTTGCTGATGCTTTGCATGTGGAGTAATAAACAGGTTTATCAATACACAATCCACCTGAAACCAGTGTGTACTTATTAAATAATTGAGTTAGTTCCTTGGAGGTCGCTTAAGTTGGACTTGAAAACAGCATTAACTTTTCTGAATAGATAAATAGCATGGGAAACAGAAAGAAGAATTCTGTGTTCGTAATGGAGGACTTCTGTAGTTCCTGGAATAGTAACAGCTTTCTGTGTATGAAATACTGTTCGAGTTTTAAACCATGTTTATCATTATAGACTGCCTCCACAAAGGAAGCAAATCACTTTTCTGTTTACGACAATCATTCATTCATCATTTCCCACGTTTAACTTCACCCTAAAAATTCAGTAACATGAAATGTTACCAAAAATATTATTTAATCAAAACAGATGTGTACACACCAAACAAACACCTCAAACATGCCTTCTCAGACCTTAATAATAAAATGCTCCTTCTGACAATCTAATTGGACAACTCAGTGAGTTTCTTGTACAAGGAAAGCAGCTACTTAAACACACACGCACAAAGATAAATTAGCAGTTCATGTCATAGAGGCAAGTCTCTGCAAAACTTTAGTCTCTTGATGTTGCTCTAGTTGTACAAAATGGGGTAGAAACGGCCTTAGGGAAGAATCCAAGAGTAATGAGGTTAGTTCAAGTAGAGCTGACAGAACAACTCTCTATCAGTCCCCCAACACTAACCCGTATATCAAGATGCAGCAGGTAAAATTCAAGATTAAAATTATCATAAGAACAGCTACAATTTAGATAAGCTGTGTTCTCTGCTTCTGTTTTTCTAATTAAACATACAGCTGAAGAGAGCACCAGAAGGTATGCACCACAACATTTATAAGAATTTAAAATGCTGGATTAATAGTGGACTTTGAAATATATGACTACACCTCCCTTAGCAGAGTTTTGCAGTGAGTTTCCACAATTTTCCCATTCCTATAATAACAGTAAGACCTTAACTTTAAAACAGTTTCTATGTGAAATACAAAATACCAGAATGCATTTTAGCTCACCCTAGCCATTTGATGGCAATATACATGCTGGGGATACAATGTCACAAGAATAATTAATTGTGACATTGCCAAAGGGACACAACACTTCTCCTGATAAATTCTTTACGTCTTTCCAAAGGGTCACAGTCAGTAATTCAGCTTTAGGCTGGTTTATTGCCTAGAGCAAATTTGATTTTAATAGACTTACACAAGCTATGGTAAAGGTGATCTAGAATGATTACATGTTTAAAATGTTCCAGGGAAAATAGAAAAGCTGCTGCGCTTGAATTTCTTCATGCAAATAAAGTCTTACCTGAATATAAATGATGTATATTCTTGAACAAGTCTGCCAAGCTGAAAACAACAAAGCATATTAATATTATCATACCAAGATGAGATATTTTGATCTTAGTTTGATAGAAATAATTTAAAACCTAGATTAAGGACGCCTGCAGAATGCAAATCAGGACTAAGAGAAGGAAATTAAAACCCAGAAAACAGAAATCATAGCAGTAGTTATTTAGGAAAAAAAACAATTTAAACCTACCCAAAAAAAAAGAAAAAAGAAAAAACACTCCTGAATTTTCATTTTATTGGTTTTTTGCTAATTCTCCACTATCCATCCAGTATAGGCAAAATAAGGCTGATAACGAAGTGCTTTTGTTAGTACAACTGACTTTGCTTGATGAACCAAGAACAGCAGTTCTTGCCAAAATGTTTTTAGCAATATAACTCTGCCAGCAGACTTTTTCACGTGTAATATCCAGCCTCATGCAAGATCTGTCTCTACCTTTCTTTCTATGCTTAATTTGCCATCAGCTTCTATTTGCAGTTTCACATTATGCTATTCAAGTGAAATACTGCGGTGATTGAGCAGTGATATCTACAGGTTTATAACACTTGCATTAACTTGACTTCTTTGGTATAGCCTAATATAAATATCTATAATATATTGGCTTGCCTAATATAAGTAAACTGTATAGAACTGTCAAAATTGGTCTGATGTTAGAGCCTTGTTGGATTCTCATGGTGTGTTCCTGCATCTGAGCAGGATTAGAGAGAAATCTGAATAGGTTCTAGTCCCAAAGGGTAGTGGCTGTGTTTGCTGTCTTTAATAATGGTTGAGTATCATCCATAGTCACAGATGCCATTTTAAAAGTGATGTCAAGTTCCAGTTGAAAAAGTAACACCTTGCAAGCGAAGGCGAAAATGGGATAAGGAACTACCTGAACGTAACACCTTGCACTCCAAATTCTGATTGAATGATAATGAGCATGATGAATTTGTATCTCTTCAAAGAATTACAGGATTTTTCCCTTTATAGAAAATATCTTTATAAGAGTTTCCTTCTGGAAGCAGAAGTTGGTCAAGAACAGCTCCAAACAATGAGGGGCATTAACAAGATTTGTATCAGCAGTCATGGACAGTATTTCGGTGGGTGGAGGGGGTTGGGGGTGAGAAATGATATGTCTGTTTTGTTCTTAAATAAGGAAACATCAGTATGCTTTTCAGAAACCACACAAATATTTCAGTAGTTGGCTCATATATAAGAAAATAACTATAGGGAAAACCAGAATTTGGGTTCCCTGGCTTAAGAAACAGCTTCTGCAGGATAAAAGCTGAAGCAAGGTTTTTCTTTTTATAGGACAAATTCCAGCGATGATAAAACAAGGCACATAGCTACTTTCACTAGATCTGTATTTATCCCTGGGCTGTCAGTAGAGGCTATACTGATGTGCAGTGAATGAAACCTGACATGACCTTTCAGATGTGGGTAAGTTCAGTCAGGCTAATGGGAAATACAATCAGGCAGACATTGACAATAAAATCTTTGAACTGATTGTGATGCCTATGGCACTTCCACTGAATGAAACAATGGCTGGAGAGAATTTCAGTGAACTTCTATGTGCTTTAATCAGGAATGTTTCTTCAAAGTATAGAGTGAAGGATGTCACCAAAATGTGGGCAACGTTAGCTTAAGATGGAACAATCATCCCTAAGAAAAGCCAGCTTTCACGCTATGCCTGTCATGCTTGCAAGGACTGATACAAGTCAATGACAGTAGACCAGACCTCAGTTATTCTGTCGTTAAAAATCACCAGCCTAAGAAATTTTAATTCAGAGCCATATGGTGGCTCAAAATAAGATCTCTTCAGCTTTAAGTCAGAGGCTCCTGACAATAATGAAGAGAAGGTACATGGCGTTTTGAAGAAGAAAATATTTCATAACAAAAGTGATCTTTTGAATATTTGGATACCATATTTAGCAATATTACTAATTGCCAAAGAAATGCTGGACACTACTCCAAAACAAACTCTTGCTCTGAAGTGAGGGTGTTTCCCATCATACGTTTAACTGAGTGGTCAACAGCAAAGTCCTTGAGATCTGCAAACATTAACCACAACTGCCTGGGCTAGAAGCCTGGTTTGCTGCCAGTGGGCTGGGCTATGAACATCGACAGTGGCCATGAGAAGGGGAACAGCTTCACCTCAGGGCTTAGAACTGAAGTGGAGAGATGGTAACGTTTCACAACACATCACTAAGCAGTAAACTCTGAGTAGTCCACCTCCTCAGAGAAACACACACCCAGTTGTATTTGCATTATATTTGACAGATGTTATACTTGGAAAGAGTCTATCAGATTTATTTACTTATCGAGACACATGCTTTGTTCTAGGTTTGCAAATGCAAGAAGCATGTTAATTTGGGTGAAATAATTGTGATGCATAAATGTAAGCAAATACATCAGTCTGGAAAAGAGCAGGCTTCTGGAATGAGAGCAACTCCAGGGAAAAAAAGAGGCTAAAAAACCCAGAGATGCAAAATTATTAACAGTAACAAATGGAAGATGTAAATGCTTACTACAGAACCGTTCCTTTTGCTATTTGTTTGCTGCAGAATCTAAAACAAGTATTAAATATCATTAAGTATGTGATTTTGCATGTAACACTGGAGTCCTCATACCTGTTATAACAAATTCCTAGTGCTAATAAAGCAGAATCTTTAAAGTCTTATTGAAGTGTCTTCTGCTAAACAGAGAATGGGCCATTACTCCTGTTTATTAAAAGTCAATGCATACAGTGCACATTTTTCTTGCTGATCACATTATTTGCTGGTACCAATTATAACCTATTTTTCTTCAATCTAAGAAGCCCAGATTCCTTCAGCTCATACAATATGTGAATGTGTTTGCGCCATCTCAAAAGCAGATGAGTTCTTAGATGTTTTATTTATGGGATTTCAGTCTTAACAAATGTTGCAAATAGAGCTCAGTAGCTCACACAGCAGCATAACAGGACTGTTTAATTCATACCGTGTATATTAAGAATAAAGGTAGAGAACCGAGTGACATTCTATTTCAGCTATTGCTAATGTGAGTGCTTCAAGATATCTGGAAATACACTTAAATAGATGTATACCTTAAAAATAAAAATGGTTTTGAAAGAAATGGTGCATAATTTATTTTGTTCTCATATCCAGGACACACTGAATGCAATGCAAGGATTAAGAATGTAAGACATAACCTCTCCGCAAGTTAACAGCCTTGGCTGTAAGTGCTTGTTTTCCCCACGTGCCCTTTTTGCCTTGTACAAAGCACACTGACAATGTAAGACAATGGAATTGCAAAGCTTTTCTAAAACAGATGTCTCTAAAAAATCTAAAGCACAATCTTTAAGTTTCACTTTCTTTTGCTTTTACTTGTTAGATCATGTCCACTCCAGATGTCCCCTATAGATAATTCACTATTACTGACCAGTTTAATGAGGATTGTCACCATGGAAATCATAGTAAAAGGTCGCTTCTGCCTCTCTCTTCACATGTATGGTACAAAAATTTTTTATGCATGCATCAAAAAGCTACAAGTTGCAAGTGAAGCATATGTATAAGTGGGAATACCTCTTTGCGTGCAGATCAGGCAGAACTGTGTTCCCCAGTCTCATCTTCCTTACTACAGCTATAAAAGAGAACAATGAATCAGCCAGCAAACAGAAGTGTTACACTTGCCTTCTGCATACTCACATTTTTGTCTACCAAACGTGACGTGCTTTCCCGGTGCATCATGTTAATCCCACACAGGGTTAATTTTGATTTCATGCTCTGAGGTATTTCCATATGGCAAAATCTTTGAGCATTTATTGAAACTTTTAATTGAATGTGGGCCCAATCCATCACTTAATTTGGCATTTGGGAGTAGGTTATTCTTTATTTTCACCTTTCTGTAAAACACAGATTATACATTGTTTCACAATACAAGTGACTCAGTGGGGGATAGCGTGCAGTCAGCACATCGAAATGAAGAAAGAGTTACCCTTAGGGAAAATCCATGAAGAGAACTTAAACTTTTACATGTTCTCTGTATTTTAACTGTAAAATCCTGCCCCTCTGCTCTCATGAGACCTTAACCTGGAGTATTGTGTGCAGGTCTGGTGTCCTCAACATAAAAAGGACATGGAACTGTTGGAACAAATCCAGAGGAGGGCTACAAGGATGATCAGGGGACTGGAGCACCTCCTGTATGAAGACAGGCTGAGGAAGTTGGGGCTGTTCAGCCTGGAGAAGAGAAGGCTACGTGGAGACCTCATAGCAGCCTTCCAGTATCTGAAGGGGGGCTATAGGGATGCTGGGGAGGGACTCTTCATTAGGGACTGTAGTGATAGGACAAGGGGTAATGGGTTAAAACTTAAACAGGGGAAGTTTAGATTGGATATAAGGAAGAAGTTCTTTACTGTGAGGCTGGTGAGGCACTGGAATGGGTTGCCCAGGAAGTTGTGAATGCTCCATCCCTGGCAGTGTTCAAGTTCAGGTTGGACAGAGTCTTGGGTGACATGGTTTAGTGTTAGGTGCCCCTGCCCATAGCAGGGGGGGTGGAACTAGATGATATTAAGGTCCTTTGCAACTCTAATTATTCTATGATTCTAAACACAGACTTCAGATCTATATTGTGGTCAACAGTAACTTTCAGTGCTGTAGTATGTGTCAGAGGGATTTGTGAGGCAAGAGTTTTCTGACCTAGTGCTTTTAGAGCATTGAACCATCTACACTGATTTCTTTTACTGCTAGTCAGAAATCAATTAAACATTTATAGCTAGCAAAGTTTCTATTAACTACAAGCTAATTCTAATAAGCTACCTGTGTAACAGAAGCTCCAGCTAAGTTGAGCAACAATGACATTTTGTCTCCTCAGGAAGTATTATGCATGATTTTAAGGACAAATTACAGAGAAGAGCAAAACCCAGAGGAGGGCAGTTTGCACAATGTAAGAAATTACTTCAGTTTTCATTGGGGTTATTCAGTTTCTAAGTGCTTTGTCAGCTGTCCCAGGGCCAGAAGAGTTTGATTTGCTTTGCTGGCAAAAATTAATTTGAAAGTAAGATCTTCTACACTTCAGGGAACTGAGATCCAAAGCAACAGTTGTGTTGGTTTGGGAATTGCAATTTACTTAAATTCCTGGTTTTTCAAGTAACAAGTAGCATGTGTAAAACTCTGTCTGGAAACCTCTGCTAGAGCCAGACTAATTTGCTAAGAGGCTTTGGAATTAGCTATATCTACCTAAAATTATCCTTTACATTTAAACTGATGCCCATCTGGGATTGAAACTATTGAGGGATGCCAAGTGCAAACAAGGGGCTTCTACAAGTAGACTAGCAGCCAAAAGAAGTCTAGGGAAAATGTCAGTCAGTTGACAAAGAACACAGAACAGACCAAAGTACTCAATGCCACCTTCTTGTCAGTCTTTCCTGTTACAACTGACCTTCAGTGAAGAGAAATGCCACACTCTTCTCACTGGTATCCAGGCAGGACAAGAGGCATATTAAAGTATAGGAAACTCTGGCTAAATATAAGAAAATGCTCTACTTGTGTGAAGGTGTTTGGACAAAGGCTGCCTGGAGAGGTTGTGGAGGCTCCGTCCCTGGAGGTATTCAAAACCTGATGGGACAGGGTCCTGGCAACCTGCTCTGGGTGATTGTGGCTGGGCAGGGGTGTTGGACTATGTGATCTCCACAGATGCCATGCAACTTCATTTGTTCTCTTATTCTGTGATAAGATCAAGCAAAGAAAGCCAAATGCCTCTATTAGAAAAGACAAAAGCCATGATGACAGTATTTTCCCCTCAATATAATCTATCTATACCAAAGTACCCCAAAAGAATCTCTTATTTAAATTAACTGCTGGATTTTTGCAAGTAGTGCACTGCCAGTGCAATTTTTATTATATCAAGTTGATGTTGTCTGTTTGCTCATTTCTACTTTACTGTCATGTGCTGAGATTGTAGCTTCTTTCCAAGGTCAGCAAATACTCTGATTTTGTGCCTACAAGAAGATGCAATGAACATGTCATTTTCTGAATGGTAACTACAGATAGCAGATAAAATTATATTGCTTCCATTGGCAGTCCTTTTTAAATACATTGAAAAGTCTGTTTCTATTAAATGTTTATTCCTGAAGCTGTTTCAGTAAGATATTAGATAGGGAAGAAGAAAATCTCTACCTATTATTGGTGTTGTGTTTTATTTGAGTGGTTCTGTTTGCCTGCAGAACAGCCTGGCAGACCTCATTATAGTAAGGATAACTACCATTCAAGTAAAGGGACAGTCCCCTGCTAGTGATGATAAAGGCACACCAAACATAAAAGCAGATAGCTCAACCATCTATTAAGCACAAAGCAAAGCAAAATACTGCCAATCATTCTACAGAATGAATAATGACTTTCACATGCAGTAGTGCATTCTGAGAGTCTTAAAACAGTTTTATAAGCTTTTTTTTTTTATCTTTAAACTTGTTGAATACATATTGTTCTCTAGTCTGGAAAAGTGATGACTAAAAAAGGGCATGACAAAGATCTGCAAAATCATGAGTGGTACAGAGAAGTTGGACAGAGACCAAATATTCTATCGCCTCTTCCAAAACAAAAACCATGGGGGATCAAATTAAGCTATTGGGAGCTATGCTGGAAACAAATGAAAGAGTTTTGTTCATGTAGCACAGACTAGATTTAAGGAACCGCTTGCCAAAATGTATGGTGAGTGCCAGAAGCTTGCAGGAGCACTAGGGGAGACTGGACAATGTCATAGAAAATAAAACCAGTGGGCGCTACTTAATACTCAGGTGCCATATCTAGGTCAAGAAGTCTCTGAACTACTTGGTAGATAGAGGCTAGAAAGTATCCCATGTACTTACCCCATTTTTCAGACTTTCAGAGACATTCTTACTTGGCCACTGCTCCTTTGAGTCTCCTGTTCAGGGCAAACAGAAGCCTGTTCCCAAGGCTGAAGTGTCCTCCCTAAGTAACACAGGAAGGAACAAATAATGACTGAAAACAGAAGTAGAGGGGAAGATTAAAAAGTAAAGATAAGGGTGGGAGGTGAAGGTAAAACCATGGGAACTGGAAGAGATCCAGACCACCCCTGACAGCATTCACCACTGCCTTCAAGTACACATGATCTGGTGAACACTGGGCAGCGGTCTGATCTGTATGACCATTGTCAAATGTCCATTGACCATTGTGAAATGTCAAACATAGTATAAACTGCAGAGTAAATGTGATAATAAGAGGTATCATTTTACAACATTATTGCAATAAGATAATGTAACTTGGTGCAGTTATATTAATGTGATTGTCTAAATTATAAATACTGCTATTAATTTGTATCATATCAATGCATTACTATTACAAGTTAAATAGCTCCATAAAAATAAGATATTACATATGTCAAGGACATTATGTGTTGAAATAAAGCTTTTAAAAAATGGTGACATTCAATTAAAATGCAGCTTAGCCAAAACCACGCACAGCAATACCTGAATAAAATATTACATTTAGCCGTAATAAATTTTATAAGTACTACAAGGACACCTTCAAAGTACTATAAGGACACTTGTAACATTTGGCTGGGCAAGTCATGCTTTGCCTAGAAGAGTTGGACTGGATGATCCTCAAGGTCCCTTCCAATCCAGTATTCTAGTATTCTAATCTTTGATATAAAGTAGTCGTAGGTTTTAACATAACAAAACCAAAGGAAGAAATATGCAGGATAAAGTTAACTTTTAATCCTTAAAAACACACACAAAAATAGCTGAAAATCTCAGAAGTTGAAGAAAGGTAGACTGATAAGTGTGTTCTTCAGAACAAGGCAGCAATTTTTACTTCTCTAGCAGCCATTCACAGCCCAGACATGTAATAAACAATTCAAGAAATGACTTGTGGTGGCATACTGTCACTCAGTTTTATTATGGGAAAACAAGCATCCAGCATACTCAGTAAGAACATAAGAAATGTGCACTGAAAGGTTTTAGTAACTAAGGCACCTTCCTATAAAGGGCTGTTGTCTGATGCACAGCACTCTACAAGGAGAGCACTTATAGCTGTAGCACCCAACAAGACAGACAATACCCTTCCATTTAAACTTTGGCAGGACTGTTGTCTAATGTAACCCTTATCAAGTCAAACACCGCTGAGCAGTTTTATTTTAGCTAGGGACAAACATTTGAAACCACCCATTTTAGGGCATGTATTTTTCTTTTTTAAGAGAGCACTTCCCCATTTGTCCCCCAGAACAGCCCAGCTGACTACCAAGGTGCACACACAGATGTATATGCACACGTGTGTATATACTCTGCCCCCTGTCTTTCTCCTTAAAGGAAAAACCTCTATAGAAACAAAGTATTCAAAAACACTTTCTACCCAGAAATCAGACTTCAGGACAATACGTTTCCTACCAGAGGAATTACTGGTGATCACTTTATGTAGAACAGAGGAAAATGTGGGGTTTCTCTTCTGCTTAATCCTCAGAGTACAATTTCCTTTACACCAAATTGTCCTGGGTTCCGCAGTAGCAGTCATGTTTTTCCTTTGTGTTAACTGGTACAGTGCTGTGTTTTGACTTCCAGTTTGAGAACAGTGTTGGTGAAGCCGATGTTCTCGGTTGTTGCTAAGTGATGTTTACCCTGACCAAGGACTCTGTGAGGCTCATGCTCTGCCAGGGAGGAGGGGAGGCTGTGAGGAAGCAGAGACGGGGCGCCTGACCCGGGCTAGCCGGGGAGGTATTCCATACCACAGCACGTCATGCCCGGGGTGAGGGGTAACTGGGAGTGACCCGGAAGGACAGGGGTTTCCGGGTGGAGCTCGTTTCTCTTGGCCGGTGGTATCGTATTCTCTTCCCTTGTTATTTTCCCTTATCATTGTTGTAGCTGATAATAGCGGTGGTGATTTGTTGCTGGACTGTTTTTGTCTCAACCCGTA